GATTTGCTCAAATACCGGGCTGACGTCGCGCAGCGCATGTCCGGGGTTGTTTTGTATTGCTAATCCGGGTTCGGAGACCGGGTGCGAAGTACGATTAGTACAATATCTAATGTGTATTACCACCACTCATAGAGTCATACTTTGTTAAGTGTTCTTTGAGCCTTGGAACTCAACCTGTATCATAAACTATATTATAGCTTCCTGTACAGTTGTACTTGCCATTTTTTTAGGTTCGTTGTGATCAGATGAATCTTAGAACTCGACCTTCCCCGAAAAAAATATTTCAAGACAAAAAAAAAGTGTGTTTGCGTGACTTAAACTATATTTGTTTTTCGTCATTCAATTTTCATGAGAAAATGTCCTATTTTTTTAAACCACATTGGAGACCGCATAGAAAAACAAAATTCACGCAGAGACACATGCGCACATGGAAGGCAATGTTTATTGTACCAATGCAAACAGGCCAATTTTTTTTTTATTTTTAAAAATGGAGACTTTTAAATAAGAGTAATAATAATTATCCACCCCGTATGTGATGGATTGAGTTAAAAAAATTAAAGTAGAGAAAAAAAATAAAAATAAAAATAGAAGGGATATATGTGATGCAATGAAAAAAAGAGAGAAATAAAACAAAATGAGATGATAATTTTTCTTTTACTAGAGCAGTTGTGGATTTAAATCTGGCCCGATGAACCACATTATGTCGGAAAAAAATTATCAGTTTGGAACATAAGTTTAATATAAATTTTAAAATTGTAAAGAAGATGATATTGGTTGAGGCATTAGATGGTGGCTCATAAAAATTGACCCTAACTAATATGAATCTAAACTACTTTAAATAATTTAATTTTTTATGCTGTATAACTCAATAATTTTAAACTACTAATTTTTTTTTATGTTATGTGATTCTGTAATTTTGACTCTTCGAGACTGTTTATCAACTTCTTTCATTATATTACCCGATCTCCTCCTAACTTATGACCGGATTGGTTTAGTTTGAATAGCCACAAAAAACAAAAATTGAGAAAACCAAACCAACCCCACATTGATTAACATTAATCTATTTGGATTTTACTATCTCCTAAGCCCAACCCTTATTCACCCTACAGTTTAATTACTAGAGGATTTTTTTAAAAACATCCTTTTTATGTTTTGATTGCGGCCCTCAAAAATGAAATAGTGACGAATGAAGATTCATTGGTGATACAAGAATATATCGACAACCACAAGAACCTAAATATGTCTAAACATTTTGCCTCTACAACTTGTACTGTTTATTTAAATTTCTCTAGACATTGAAAATCACAGATGAAGGCACTGGCCACCAGTTAACTATGATACATTGATGAGACTATAACCAACTCCATGAGAATCAAGAAAGCACCAATCTAATACCTTTTATGATTGCTTCACAACCTTAGAGGCAGCAAGTAAGAGTTCCCATCAAGGCCTTTTGCATAATAATGTGTCAAGATTTCTTTCATTGTAATGTTGTCCCTGTAGACTGGAGGATTTTCTTCTGATAACAACTCCTTTATTGGACCATAAATCTTTGATGTGCATTCAGACATGGTAAAATTCAAGAAGTAGGTTACTACAGAAATTCTAGGGCCTTTATTCCTCAACGAGACCCGGTGATAAAGACTGGTGAACTTGTCATTTGTCATAAGCTGCATGAATTATCACAAAATTGACAAACATAAATATAATCATAAAAGAATTGGGTATGGTGAGTCCTAACTATTTAAGGTCACTTCACTTTCATGTTGAATCATGTCCTTTATAGAGTTCTTTGGATAAGCTTCTCTAGAAGTATTTCTATAAAAGGAAAATAAGAAGGAAAAATTAAATAAACTTCTCTATAAGCTAAAATTGACTCATACATAAGCAAATTTGTAGAAGCTCTTTCTTATTAATTTATCTAAAATCTTACTTTTAACTTATACATAAATCAGTTTTAATTTATAGAGAAGCTTATTTTGATTTTCCTTCCCATTTTTTTTTTCTTTTAGATACACTTCTAGAGAAGTTTATTCAAATAGACTCGTGCATACATGATTCCTTCTGAAACTAACATCTTCAGAGCATCATAGTATCTTACTGAAATTTTATTTCTGTAATTGAAAGAAAGTGTAGATGTTGAAATGGAATCAATTAGCATGATAGATCATCAGGAAATTATGGCAAATGGATATTAAGACTATCGATAAACTACTAGGCCATGATGGAAATAATAACAGAAATAATAGAAATGTTGAGAGATGATATGTTTATATAGACAAATTTTTAATGTAAGCAGTGCAACATAAAAATATATAAGCAATGATATATGTAATATGTTCCATATACATGGAGAGGCTTTGCCAAAAAAAATTCAATGTCTCTCTTCTCTTGTGTCTTATCTGCAGAATTTTGCAAGCCATGGATTGACAACCCTATTTCCAATAAATTTTCAAGTTGTATTATTTTATTCTAATTTCTAAGTGTCTATTTGGGTAAACTTCTCCAAAAATACTTTTAAAAAAAAAATCAAAATAAGCTTCTCCGTAAGGGAAAAATAAAATTTTTGGAAAAACTAATAAGAAAAAGTTTTTACAAAATAACTTATGCATAATCTAATTTTAGTTTATTGAAGAGCTTATTTTTCATTTTTTTCTTCCTATTTTATCTCCCAAAAATGCTTCTAGAAAAATTTATGTAAATAGACCCTAATTCATACTTTGCTTTACAAATCAAAAAATCATGAGTATAAGTGCTACCCTAATATATTAACCTTTCATTGTCTAAGAAAGTTGTTTAATATATCAGTGTCATAAAAATCGAAAAGACCATAACATAGAAAGCCACTGCTATTTAAACTGTCATTATGGTTTTCTTATATGCAGGTGAAGCAAATTTCAGATAGTTATGAAGCTATACTCTTGAATCTACATAGAAACAGAAGCTGCGTGATTGTTAAAACACTGAAAACCATATGCCATGGTTTACATATTGATAATTTTACTAACCTTTTGCATTCAAATTTTCTTTCTGTGAACCATTCTGTGATATTTCACTTATTTAAAGCTAGCTAAACCATTATGGTTTTATTTTACTAGCCTTGTTTGATAATCATATTTCAAGAACATATTTATCTTTTGTAGAAAAAATAGTTCACAATTTCAGAAATTACCCGTAGAATATCTCCAATGTTTACAACTAGAGCGCCTTGCACTGGAGGAACATTAACCCAATGATTATCGTGAAGAACTTGAAGACCACCTATCTGATCTTGTAAAAGTATTGTTATGAAGGTACAATCAGTGTGCTTTGAAATACCCAGAGTTAATTCAGGTTCAGGGCATTGTGGATAGTATTGACCCATAACATAAAGTGCTTCAGCGCAGTCCATTTCTTTAAGGTAAGAAGGATTAAGTCCAAGAGCCTCTGACAGTAGCTCAAAGATTGTGATACCCAATGCTTTTACTTGTTTTGCATATTCAGCCACAATATCTCTACAAATACACAATTAGTCGAGTAAAAAAAACAAAAGGAAGATCCTAGTTTGATGGTTATGCAAGTCAAATTCCCAAGTGATCCTGACTTAATAATACCATTTAACAAATATGGTGTATAGAAAAGATGCATAAATGCTAAATAGAAAAGAGTCTAACCCAAAGATTAGCTTATTTATTAGGTAGGAGTTTCTCATAACTTGCTCAATGTAACATATCATACCCTTTAAATAGGGGAATATCCCTTTCGCTGGTCGTTCCTTTCCATTTTCAGGTCCCCCTTTTAGGGTCAGAGAGCTCTCAACAAATACACCAATTGTTATAATTTAATATTGCAATATTGCAAGGAGAATCCAATCCAAGAGACTAACTTATTGGAAAGGAAAATCTCAAATTATTTACAACATTGAACTTCCTTGTTTGCTCAATGTCATAACTCAAATGCCTATTTTGCTTGGATTCTTAAAACTCAACACCAAGTCTTTCAAATAAATACATAAGATTGGGG